ATTTAAGTCACCTAAAAACATTGATAAGTATACATGTATAATAATTATATTATATATACTTTTTGTGGTACTGCATCCTAAAAGAATATAATAACTGTTGTTAAGATTATAATCGAAGCCTTTATTGATGATGTCATAGTATCGACTGAAACTAAATACAAAAATTAAAAATCAAAATTACAAGAGATTATCTTACTTGCATGAGAACTTTCCATCAACATAAGATGATGAATAGTTACACATTCCTTCTTGAGTAGGGTCTATCTTGTTTGGTGGATTCTCCCCATTCCAACTATCAATGACTCCAACATTACCAGAATCATCTTGTTTGCAACCCAACACATCAGAGTTAGCCTGCAAAAAGAATTCACTCAATTTGGTACTATACTTGCATTAGTGTATCTACTTAAGTCTGACCACACACCGAAGCATGTGCTTTATAACACAAATCATTCATCAACAACCACCTACCATTGCTCTATCCAATGAAAAACCTACAGCTACCCAGCCTGGTCTGCTACCCTCTAAATAAATGTCCAGGAACTCAGGATCATTATCATTGGGCCCCATAGCTACCCTGTAGTCACAGTCAGGCTGTGTCAACAGGAGTACATTGTCCCTATCAAGCAGTTTCTCACCCTGTAACAAAACAAAGTATTACAATTAAGAGGTGGACTCTACTTTCTTACAGATTCTGGGGGACATTTTTTATTAAATTGAGTAAAGGAAGCACCAAAAAGAAGGAAAAGGAGAGAGAGTGAAAAGGGCGACATCACTGACTGCAGATACGATCTGCAGGATAGGAGGGGAGGGGCTGGTGTGATTTACGGAAATTATACTGTTAATTACACACTAATAATATTCATAGACTATTGTTCACATTGTACTAAGGAATTTGCAAAGCAAGACTTGTCATAATGCTAGTCAGCCTTTCACTCCCTTGGACCCTTACAGCTGGACCCAGTCTGAGCCTGCAAGTACAAATAGATACACAATTAATATTAACAAGAGGAGGAGAGTATAAGTGCCTACCATTGTATGTGAATGGATTATACATATCGGGAGATACAGCTGGGAAATTAGGCTCATGAAATGGAAAATTAACAGATAAATCACCTGTAGGTAGAATGTAATTAATGAAATGTTACAATAGGAATACTTTTAAGTTGACTGCAGCCTAACAGAAAATAGTAAGTACTGTTGAAATCATAGTCATAGCCTTGGTTCAAAATACCATGAAAACGACTGAAACTATAAACAAAAACAACAACAATAAACAACATCAATGATAATGTTGCTCTTACTAGCATGAGAACTTTCCATCAACATAAGATGATGAATAGTTACACATTCCTTCTTGAGTAGGGTCTATCTTGTTTGGTGGGAGTGCTCCATTCCAACTATCAATGATTCCTACATTACCAGAATCATCTTGTTTGCAACCAACAACATCTGAATAACCCTGTGGATGTGCATGTACAAATATATACAATTAATCATTTATTTCATTTTTACCATTCTCTTGTTTAATGAGAATCCAACAGCAACCCAGCCAGCTTGGCTACCCTCTAAGTATATATCTAAGAACTCTTTATCATTCTCATTGGGCCCCATTGCCACATAGTAATCACAATGCTGCTGAGTTAGTTTCAGCTTTGATGGCCTTTGAGACTAGCAAATGATATCAAGCAAAATAATATATATATATATATATCTTACAGACTGTTGAGGACATTGTACATCACGCAGAGCATAAGAACTGCTTATGAGGAGTAGAGCAGAAGCAAAGAGAAGCTTAACCATTTTCATCATTTTTGTTGCATAACACTGCAAAACATAAAAGGGTGGGGCTGCTCTCCACATTGCAATACTCCGGATTATTCTCCGTATACTATAAGTTTCCCGGCAGATCTGGCGGGGGTTTGGCATTAAATCTTAATATAAAGCATAGGACAGCACATAGCAATTAAAAGCAGCAATAAAAACAATAGCAAGTTAATCAAACATTGACCCAAGGCTGCCAGTACATTCCTCGTGTACTGAAATACTCACAAAGCTGTTTGCCTTTTGGAATATCGTCCTTATTGTGGATACCTTGGTCTTGCATTGAACGAGGCTCCTTTGAATAACTGTTGTACCTATCAAGCATATCTTTAAGTATTGCGTGTTCTTTTTTTGAGAGGTCATTTCTTTCTGAAGGATCATTAATGATATCATAAAGACAATAAGGATCACAGTCTTCAGAGACACTGCCATTACTGCAAGGATAGTCCAATGGCGACCACATGAGTGAGTTGCAGTGGGTGTACTGGTTACCAACAATCAGTTTATGTCTGCCTGCTATGATAGCACCTTGATGAGTGTGAGAGGGTGAGTAGTCAAAATCATATCCCAATACAATCTCTTCGTGTTGTGTTTCTTCATTCTCTCCAGTAATGATAGGCCATACATCTAGTCCATCAACTGGAAACTTCCCTTTACCAGAATCATTATGATCCACACCAGCCATTTTACAGAATGTAGTGTACCAGTCAGCAACATGAATGAATCCATCGGTACTCTTCCCACGTCTTGCTGCTGGTATCAACCCTCCACTAGCAAAAGCAATGACTCTTACTCCTCCCTCAAAGAAAGTGTGTTTTGATCCTTTCAATGGATAATTACTACCTTTACAATCTGCCCCTCCATTATCTGCTGATATTACCATGATGGTGTTATCCCACATGTCATTTTCTTTCAATAGATTAACAACATGTCCGGTGACATTATCAGCCACACTGACCATTGCCTGTAGTACTCTCCTTGTAGCACAGGTAGAGTTAACAGGATAGAGGTCCAGCCATTCCTGAGGTGCCTCAATAGGTGCATGGACATTATGTAATGGAAGATAGAGGAATAATGGTTTACTGGCATCATGTTTACTGAATATAGTGGTTAGGTCTTTATTATAAATATAAGAGTCATATGTGCCATTACGAGTGTCTGGGGCATGATTCTTCCAGAAATCAACAGCACAACCTATCGTCTGATTGAAATGACCTTCCCCAGCTTGCAGGAACCCAGATGATGTATCAAAGCCTCTGTTGACAGGAAGATAAGCTGGGTCATACAAACCCTGGTGCCATTTACCAACCATGTGTGTGGAATACCCAGCAGTCTTCAATTTAGCAGGTAACATGGTCATATTGATATTGGTACCAACCATTCCTGGTGGTGTTGGGTTCCACTGGTGCACGTGATGAGGGAACCTACCAGTTAGAAACGAGGCTCTTGAAGGCGAGCAGTACTTGAATACATAGTGTCTGTTCAGGATAAGTCCATTGTCCACAAGGTACTGGAAGCTTGGAGTCTTAATGGCTGGGTTACGGAAACTGGCATCAGCAAACCCCCAGTCATCTACTAGTACAAAGACAATGTGAGGTTTGTCTGGTGGAGCAGCAGCTCCTACAGTTACTGCACAGACTGAAAGGGAAAATAAACCAAGCAATAGTTGAGCAAACATTATTTTGTACACTGAGCCCCACCTAGATCACGTGATGTGCTGCTTTGCGTGGGCGTAGGGCATGCTCAATTTTGCCTTTAAAAATTATCATAAGAAATTAATGAAAAATGAGTGGAATTGTTAAAAAAAACAATAACAGCATGCATCAGTACATAAAACAGGTTAATGATCATAATATCAGCAACAAAGTTCTTGCATCATCAGTCCAATGTGCTGATGATTGAGTACAAGCTCCTTGTCAGTACACGAGTGATGTCACGTGGTCTCCTAGCATCACCATATTCTTTAGTTTTATTGTCCAGTATCTCTTGTCTCTTGCTTGCATCTGTTAAATCAGTGTGTCCTCCATCAGTCCTTGAAAGTACAAAGAAGTTACTGCCACAATGTAGATGAGGATAGCTATGATCTTTTCCACCATTACCAACATATGTTTGACCTCTGCAGTATTCTTCCTTATAGTCTACTGCAGCTGCAGAGCTCAAGAGGAGGAGTAGGACAATGATTAGAATGACAGTTACCAATTTCATGATCTTTAGCACTAAAGATAGTGTGATTTATGTGCAGAATCTGTTTGATATTTATATTAAACTGAAAGCTATGGGGTATTCCATGGGTAATTCCCTGCTATGTTTTTGCATTAGGTTTGGTTGCTAAGCTCAGCATAATGTTACTACAGTATTTTAATTACATCGGTTACATCATCTTGACAATTGACTTGTACTAAAAATAGATCAAGTTAGTCTCGTGATCATGGTCACGTGATAACAAATAACTATTAATATTTTAATTAACTAGATCAATTGTAGTGCTCCATTTACTTTCAGGACAAGTAAAACAACATACAAGCTCCTTCTCCTCTCTTTAGAGCCATTATCCAGTCACTCTATAGCCAGGGGGACACTCTTTGCTCGTATATATCACCTGGTCCTCCTCTACTGATAGATAATGGCGAAGACCTATGACTTCTTATTCAAACTATTACTGATTGGGGACAGTGGAGTGGGGAAGACATGTATATTAGTCAGATTCTCGGAGGACGCCTTCAATTCAACTTTTATATCAACAATAGGTAAGTACATGTACCCCAGCAACACTTGAATGAGTTACATGTACATGAGAGGCTGTTAGATCTGGAAGTAGGTTTTGGGGGACCAATCTAACTTAAAATGGAAGATTTCAGGAGACCTAAGCTAAATATGAGAGGCCAAAAGTCTCCTAAACTCCCTCTAAATCTAACAGTGATCATTATTGTCACTTTCACCTTCTCTCTCTCTCTCTTGCTCCACCTTCTTTAAACTAATTACTGACTAGACTGTATACATGGATTGTCTCTTTATTTTCGTTCATTTTGTTTTGTTATTTTAATAACGTGACATTAATTACTAGCCCTTTGGTGGGCGGGGATTAGATTAATAATGTGTCTCCTTGTACTAATGACTGTCTCTTTTGTGTAGGAATTGATTTTAAAATACGTACAGTGGACATTGAGGGCAAGAAGATCAAACTACAGATATGGTAAGTAACCAATTTATTATTATTATTATTATTATTATTATTATTATTATTATTAATTAGGGATACAGCAGGACAAGAGAGGTTCAGGACCATCACTACAGCTTATTACAGAGGAGCAATGGTAATGTACATGTATATTTATTAATATGTACATTATATTTATTAATATGTACACTTATGTAGGGTATTATGCTTGTTTATGATGTAACTAACGAGAAGTCGTTTGACAACATAAGGAACTGGATCAGGAATATTGAGGAGGTGAAGTTGATTATTGTTATTATCAATTATTGTTATTATGAATTATTGTTGTTGTTGTTATTATGAATTATTGTTATTATTGTTATTATGAATTATTTTTATTATTGTTATTATCAATTATTGTTGTTGTTGTTGTTTAGAATGCAGCTGCTGATGTGGAGAAGATGATCCTTGGAAACAAATGTGATTTAGAAGAATCAAGAGTAGTGAGCAGAGAAAGAGGCCAGCTGGTAAGGACAGACCTTGTAATGATTGTGTCACTACCTCTCCCTCCCCCTCTCCCTCTTCAGCTAGCTGAGGAGCATCAGGTCAAGTTTATGGAGACCAGTGCCAAGTCAGGGCAGAATGTTGAAACAGTTAGTTTACTCAAATGAACTTGACGTCACATGTGCTGCTACATTCACTTTTATCACACCCTCTAGGCGTTTCTAAACTTAGCAAAAGACATTAAGAACAAAATGGACAGGAGAAACGTAAGATCATGTACATGTACTTATCTTAGATCTAGAAACTAAACCAATCTAACTACAAATGGGAGGGACCCTAGGACTAAATATGAGAGACCAAAGTGTCCTAAAGTCCCTCTGGATCCAACAGTGATCATGTACATGTGCTTACATGTAGAGACAGTTACTATACACTAGCTTCATTTAAGCACATATATGTATTTATTTATTTATTTATTTATTTAAGTCTTTATTTATTTATTTAACTACAGCCTGGTGATGACATGGGTACCTCACAGAGTAATGTTCATGTGACGGCCGGAGACAGCTCAGGGTCCGGGGGCGGCTGCGCCTGCTGAGGGTTTTAAACTTTTTGCAAGAATTTAATTACATGTTCGATTATTATTATTATTATTATTATTATTATTATTATTATTATTATTATTATTATTATTATTATTATTATTAGTGGAATGTTGTTTTGTCTCTTCCAGAATCTGTAGTTTTTTCTTAATTTTAATTTGAATCGTTGAGTGGATTTTTATGTACAGCATATCCATGCACTTAATTAATAACAGACAAAATAGATGATTATTATTGTATGATTTATTATTAATTTGTTAAAGCAATTTCTATAGCACCTTATTGCAATACAGTATGTCCTCATTATAACTTCATAGGTTAATTAGCTATTAATTATTCATTGGTATTAATTAATCTAATTAAATATTCACAGCCCCTAAAGGGAATTGCTTAAAAGTGTGTCTTTTTCTTCAAACCTCAGATGTTGTAAAAAGGCTGTTTCCTCTTCCTGTGCCATACAACCTTTAAAGAGACGGGCAATAGCTTAGAGCAACAGTATATCTTCTTTTGGATCGGTTCTTTCATTTCTCTCTCAATCTCAGTCTCCTCTAATAGTCAGCAGTCATGCCAAGAGCTGGTACTTGGCCGTCCCTATCTCTATATCTTTTCTTAGCTGGTAAGTACAACTGCTCCTGGTCTGTATTACAGCCTTCAGATACAATCTCTAACTGAGGATCATTGGGATATTATAAATAATATTATTTATTAATATAATTTGCTTGTTTTCTAGTGTTTCTAGTAAGTGGTGTTTACTCAGTCAAACATGGTGACATACGATTGGCTGGTTACGGATCCAACTCTATCTCCGGCCGACTGGAAGTGTATTATAACGATAAATGGGGCGGAGTTTGTGGCGGAATTAAATTCAATATTTTAACTGGTACAGTAGCTTGTCGACAACTTGGACTAGGACCCTCCACCGATATTGTGTATTACAGGTAAACAAAGGGATTACTGTCAACAATATTGTAAACAATATTCTAAACATTATAGTTTAATTAGCTGTACATGTAACTGGAGAATATTTGTGAATTTATTTAATTAATTAACTCTGTTTATATTAGTACTGGTACATTTCATGATGTTGTCTATTGTTGATTCATGGAATCAGTATGTTTGTTATGATTATATTTAACTCTTAAAGGAACACTCATCAGTACAGTACAACCCCTGGCCTATTGTTTGTGACTGTAAGGGACACTCCAGCTGTGGGGATAGCTCACTGTTGTTTTTGAATTAAGTGTCACAATAGTAATAATAATATTAGTGGTTGGGGTACAAACAACTGTGGGTTTGTTTAAGCACATATTTACCAGAGGAGACAACAACTGGACACCTTTATAATGAGGACACCTCAGGACAGGTAGTGTGGGCCCAATGGTGTCCTTAATAAAGAGGCTACACTGTACATGTATTAAGGACAGGTAGTGTGGGCCCAATGGTGTCCTTAATAAAGAGGCTACACTGTACATGTATTAAGGACAGGTAGTGTGGGCCCAATGGTGTCCTTAATAAAGAGGCTACACTGTACATGTATTAAGGACAGGTAGTGTGGGCCCAATGGTGTCCTTAATAAAGAGGCTACACTGTACATGTATTAAGGACAGGTAGTGTGGGCCCAATGGTGTCCTTAATAAAGAGGCTACACTGTACATGTATTAAGGACAGGTAGTGTGGGCCCAATGGTGTCCTTAATAAAGAGGCTACACTGTACATGTACGTGTACTTGTTTATGATGTAAAGATCAAAGATGGGAACTAGTGTATTGTTATGATCCAGTCTTACTATATATAGTATACACCATTGTTACAGTGTCACTGATGGCCTTTGTGTGAGTAATGTTATATCATAGTGTAATGTACATTGGTTCCTGGTAACAATGCATCTAATAATGTATTGATATTATTAATGATATTATTAATGATATTATTATTGATATTATTATTGATATTATTATTGATATTATTAATGATATTATTAATGATATTATTATTGATATTATTATTGATATTATTATTGATATTATTAATGATATTATTAATGATATTGTTGATATGGACTTGTAATAATGCTATACCTTGATGTCTCAACATTACATGTGCTACTATTGTTGTTTATTGTTGTTGTTGTTGTTTATTGTTGTTGTTGTTGTTTATTGTTTACAGGTTTGGTGTTGGTTCTGATGTTAGTGTCATTAGTGATGTGATATGTACTGGGTCAGAGTATCACTTATTGCAGTGTCAGCATTCTTTAACGACCTGTCAACCACATCAGGTGGTGGGGCTCGTCTGCTGTGAGTTAATTAAACTATTATTCATTTTATTATTTATTTATTATTATTAGCTCGTTTTGTCCTACCGTACTCTGGATCTGTTCGATTGTACAACTCTCACTCGAGCAATAGTGCTGAGTCATCATCCAGCGGTCAGTTACAGTTATACATGAATGAGAGCTGGAGGCCGGTCAGTGGGTGTGGCTTCAATGAAGGAGCAGCTGATACTGCTTGTAGGCAGATTGGATACACATCATACGAAAACTTTAACAAAATGTAAGTAACTGCAGCCTGTCTGGAGGTGTGTGTGTGTGTGTATAAGTAATGTAATACCTGAGGACTGAGATATCTGCTTGAGGTAAAGCTGAGGGCAGATATCAAGGGACTCAGGTATTACATTACTGATACTCACCTCCAGACACACACATACTGGTCACTACACATATAGTGTACACTTGTATTGTCTGTGATTAAGGTCTAATTAATCAATTGTTATTAATTAATAGCCCTTTATCCACTGGTTCAAAGTCCTGGAACATCTCATCTTCTTGTGATGGTCATGATGTTTGTTTGAGTGGCTGCAGCAACATCACTAATGACACAGAACACTGTGACACTCATAACAGTGTTAATTTGAGTTGTGGTAAGTAATGGCAACTGTGTATTCATAAACTTGTACATTATTATCATCATCTAGTGTTTAATTCCAGTCTTGCTGGTGGAGTGTATACTGGCAACCAGTCATCATGTGGTCTAGTAACTGACTATACAGGATCAGTTAGGATACAATCTAACAATGATAATAATAACAATGGGCTTGAAGGAATTCCTCAGGTACAGTATGTGTAGTTTGTACTAAGTAATTTGATGATGAAGTTGCTCCAAAATCAGGCCAAAGTCACTGTACCATAGTACATGGTCTTGGGCCAAATTTTACCAAAAATGAAAAGGAGAGGATTCTCCATTTTTATTACATTTCCTGATGCATATACATGTACTTATGTTGTGTAAAAAGTTTGAACTGATTCCAATTAAAATTAGTTTTTTAATGAATTTTTAAAGTTGCTCCAAATTCAGGTAAAAGTCCCTGTACTATAGTACATGGTCTCGGGCCAAATTTTACCAAAAATGAAAAGGAGAGAATTCTTCATTTTTATTACATTTCCTGATTCATATTATACTTATTACTACATGTAGGTGTATGTCAATGGCAGTTGGTATGGTTTGTGTTCTCATGAGTCATTCAACCTCACTTCTGCTGATGTGCTCTGCAAGCAACTCTCATACAATATGGCAGTTAGGACTGATGTTATCAGCAGGTATGTTTATAATAATAATTATTATTATTATCATACCTAATTATTATTATTATTATTATTATTATTATTATTGCAGGCCCAACAGTGCCCCTGGGTTGATCCTATCCTGTACTGGACTGGAGTATTCAGTTTCAAAGTGTCCAGTACTTCATGGAGCTCAATGTACTCAATTCAGGAGTATCAAATGTAAGGGACCATGTGTTGGAGGATTGGAATTATTTTATTATTATTATTATTTATCAGGTTCCAATGAATATCCATTGTATGGTTCGTTAAGGTTGAACAGTTCTGCTGGTTCCTATGGATCACTTCATGTCTTTGATGGTTTCCTGTTTCACCCGGTCTGTGATCATGGGTTTGGCTGGACTGAACTAACAGTAGCTTGTAGACAGTTGGGATACTCTGGAGCTATTCAAACAATCAACAACTCAATGTAAGCTATTAGTATCATAATTTATTATTATTATTATTATTATTATTATTATTATTATTATTATTATTATTATTATTATTATTATTATTATTATTATTATTATTATTATTATTATTATTATTATTATTATTATTATTATTATTATTATTATTATTATTATTATTATTATTATTATTATTATTATTATTATTATTATTATTATTATTATTATTATTATTATTATTATTATTATTATTATTATTATTATTATTATTATTATTATTATTATTATTATTATTATTATTATTATTATTATTATTATTATTATTATTATTATTACTATCTACAGGAGTGGTATAACGGTACACCCTAATTCCTCGTTACCCTATTCCTTCTCTTGTTCTGGAGCTGAGGCTCATCTCATGTCCTGCTCTAGACACACCCACTCAGTCTGCCGCTATCCTTACGACACTGTTGGAGTTCAGTGCAGTGAGTATAGCCATTATTGTAATTATTAATATACTTACACTATTGCATTAGGTTCCTATGGTCCTACTGACCCATCATTAGGAGCTATTAATTCCAGTTCAGGACGATTGACTGTTGTAGTGGGCGGAGTCAGAGGAACAGTGTGTGGGCGGTCCTTTAATCAGTTATCGGGTCATGTGGCCTGTAGGCAGATGGGATTTGAAACTATTAGCAGCTACAGACTAGCAAAGTAAGGACACCTTTATAATATGAAAGAATATACTGACCCCCCCTCCCCCCTTCTCTCTCTCCCTACAGTTCCAGTTCCTCTTATGAGTTTCCTATTGCTTTAACGTCAGTTTCCTGTTCTGGTTTTGAGTCAGACATATTATCCTGTCCTCACACAGTGACTGGTAGTGGTTCCTGTACCCATCATGATGATGTAGTCTTGTCCTGCAGTGAGTCCATTACTGACAGTGTGTTACATGTACCACTGATACTGTACATATACTGCAGGTAAGGAGAGGCCCCATGCTGATGGGCTGGTTAGATTGATGCCGTCAGAACCTGAGGCCAGCAGCAGCAACAGCAGTAGTTCATTAGTAGCCTCTGGTAGGTTACTGATCAGTTTTCACGGTCTCTGGATGTCAGTTTGTGGCAAGTTCTTCAGTGGAACAGCTGCTGATGTCGCCTGCAAACAACTCAACTATACCAGAGCTATAACATACTGCACCAATAACTGGTAATTGATAATAATGAATTATTTATTTATTAATCAATTTGTTTGTTTAGTACTGATGCTCCACCCACTGATGAGTATGTATATTTCGCTGAGACCCAGTGCACGGGGAGGGAGGATCGACTCTTGGACTGTGAGCATGAGATTCATAATCATGAGCTGTGTGGACATGAGTTTGACGTGACTTTATCTTGCAGTAAGTTGGCTCATTAATATTCATGATTATTGAGGGGTGTGGCTAATTACTTAACCACAGATATGAATATCATTAATCACACAAATCCATGGAGGGATCCCATTTCTCATAACAAACTAAATACAACAATTGTTTACTTTTTAGTAAAAGAAGTCACATCAACAACAACAAGAACATCAACAACAACACCAACCAACAGTGTAGCTCCTACAGTAGTTGGAGTCAATCCTTCTCCCTCACCCTTCTTCCTCCCTATCCCCAGGCTCTTGTTCTACTCTATTGTCGGGGCAGTGTCTTTGCTAGCCCTCACCTGCTGCATGTGTCTCATCATTTGTTGCTGTGTCTGCTACCGTAAGAAGAAGAAGTCAGTTAGTACATCATGGGGTCCACACACTAATGGGTCCATTGGTACTAATGGACAGTATCACATTTACGACTACCCTCACTTTAACGAGGCAGAGAGAAATGGCAAGGACTGGGAGGCAAGCTATGAGAGCTCTAAGAGTGGGGCTGGGTTCCCACTCGAGGAAGACCCTCCGAGATATGATGATTTAAAGTTTCAACGTTCCCTTGACAGTATCGGAGAGAACCCATATCAGACTGACACAGGTTTATACACAGCAGGTGGGATTGCTGTGGGCAGTAATGAGCTGATACTGGACCCTGGACTAACCAACTCTTTGGATCTTTAATTCCTCTGTTTTTAAACTCTTTGATTTTATTAAGTGTATCATTATACCAAAGACTCAGCATTAATCTATTATCATTCTTTTAATTCATTTAATTTATAAATAACTATTAATTAACTACCAATAATTTGTGTGGGTGTGGTCAGTAGTTAGCCACACCTTTTACAGGTCATCAGTGGTGAAGAACGAGGTGAAGAATAATGACTGCTGTCCTTCAGCTTCTTGTTCCTCTACTATTGGCAGCCATAGCTCCGGGTAATCCTTCATCAATGAGTGTTTGTGTTTATTCTCACTCGTTATACAGTGCAGGCTGCCGGCCCTTCTAATGGGGACCTAAGACTGGTGAATAGTACGGGGGGCCCCTCTGCACTTGAGGGGGCCCTGCAGATATATTTAGCTACTAATGGGACCTGGGGGGCAGTCTGTGTTAGAGCTGGTAGCAACAAAGAGCTATACAACACTGTGTGTCAGCAGTTAGGGTATACTGGAGCTGATGGAACTGGTTCTTATGTTACTAATGTCAGTGTCAATAATGTGACCAAGTGAGTTGTGTATTAGTGTTAGGTTAGGTAGAGGAATGGTTTTAATAAGTCTTGGCATGTTTATACATGTACTTATGTTGTGTAGCAAGTTTGTGCTGATTCCGATCAAGTTTGGATTTTTTACAAATTTTTAAAGTTGCTTGAAAGTTGTGTACTATAGTACAGGGATTTTAGCTAAGATTTGCACAGGAGAAAGTCCTTCATTTTTCTTACATTTCCACTTCCCAGATACATATGCATTTTCTTATCTTATCTAGTGATGAATTCCCTGCCCCATTGTTAACTGGCGTACAGTGTTCTAGTGTTTATCCTCATTTACTGAGGTGTGGCTATACACTAGTCACTGATGTGATGGAGGATATCTGTGAAGACGGAACTGGAGTACCTTACGTAACCTGCAGTAAGTGATAACTGTTAATGATTAATGTGGTGAAGATGAAACACTGACTCCACTAAGTAAATACTTCTTCTTCTTAATACATTAGTGAGTTCTAACCTGACGTCCAGTGGTCCCTATCCCGGTCAGGTTGCTCTGTTTTATGGTGAGTGGTCGTCTGAAGGATTGCTGCAGGTGTATCTCAACAATCGCTGGGGTACTGTCTGTTCTGAGTTCTTTACACTAGCCAATGGTGACTCAGTCTGTCAGCAGTTGGGTTACACTAATGCTCTTTATTACGGCCCTTACTCTCAGTAAGAGACCAGCACTACACCTATTCTACCCATGACGTGTTGTTAATTCCTTTATTCATTAAAGGTATGGTATCAGGTGGATTTGGTTAAGAGAGCTCAATGCTACCTGTAACTCCAGCTGCTTTAAAGACTGCTACACTGCACCAACCATTAGGAACATATACTGCAGTAACCGTGACGATGTCTACCTTGTATGCAGTAAGTATTAATTTTATCATATTTTATGATAACGTTTTGGTAGCTTTTGATACTACAAGATATGATAGTTCACTGCCGTATGGAAGGAATTGTTCATTAGGTATTTTGTTTAACCATTATTCATAATTTTTATTTCATTCCCCCACAGAGTATGGTACTCTCACTGCTGCCTTCATTGCAGTACTGATGATACTGTTCTGTCTGATAGTCTCTGTTTATATTATTATATTCATAATGAGGGTTGTAGTGGCGGCCTATCATAAGACAGAGCACTATAAACTGAAGGACAAGCGCCACAGAAATAGGAGACATGATTTTGATGAATATCGCTCCAGTCTTGATGAGAATTCAATGATACTCAGTAATGACTATACAGTGAAAGACTAAATGACCTCTCTTTACCTCCAAACACAATAATGTCTTTTTAAAACAAATTTTATTGAGTGATAATAGCTTTCTAAAATCCACGTGGTTGAAATAGCCGTACATAACCATTCCGTTTACTCTAACCACGTGGTTGATATATCTGCATATCCGGAGAAGATAAATCGTTTATTTCAACCACGTGCTCACATTTCCTTGCCCTTGCCACTCCTATTATCTACTGAACTGGTGTCAGCAGATATGAGCCCTGTCCTTCTCCTTGTTCTAATATGCCTATCAGTTCTTTCAATAATCAGTTTACCTGCAGGTAATGGTGTGTTTATTCTGTCCACTGTTAGACTGTGTCTCTAATAGATGCTCTATTGTATGCTAATGGTGATGTGAGACTCAACAGAAATGGATCTGTTTCAATTGATAACACATTAGGAGTCCTTGAGGTGTATATCAATGACGAGTGGGGCACTGTCTGCTCTGATGGGTTCGGTACTGGCTCTGCAGCTGCTGTTTGTAGACAGTTAGGATACCTTGACAGTTTAAGCTATGGACTCCCTTCAAAGTACAAGTAAGTGTTGTAACCTGTACAAACCTCAGTACCTCTGAAATGAGGGAACCTCTGGCATAATGTCACCCCAATGGTGTGAAACTAATAATAAATATTCATATTATTTCTTAATTATAGTTTACAAACACCAGTGGGTCCTCCAGTGTTGACTGATGTACAGTGCCCAGTTGGTATTGACTATGCTGCCAGTGGCTATCTCCATATACTGAGGTGTCCTCATTCAACCAGCAGCACCAACTCATGCAATAATAATAATAATAATGATGATGATGTCATTGCTATTCAATGCAGTATGTCACATTATCATCATCATCATCATTATTATTATTATTATTATTATTATTATTTATAGATGAAGTTTTGATTACATCCAATCCGTACAATGGACAGATACGATTGGTCAATGGTCCGATACAGTCAACTGGTCTATTGGAGATATACTTATATAATGACTGGGGGACAGTTTGTGGTGAAGAGTTTAATAAAGCAGCAGCTGATTCAGCATGTCGGCAGTTAGGATATACTGAATCATTTAATTATACAATCACACCAAAGTATGTACAGTATATATACATACAGTGTATATAGGGAATATCAGTAATGTAATACCTGAGTCCCTTGATATCTGCCCTCAGCTTCACCTCAAGCAGATATCTCAGTCCTCAGGTATTGCATTACTTATACACACACACCTCCAGACAGCCTGCTGGTCACTGCTAAAGCTGCATATACTATAGAAGTACATTATATGTTATTGTGATTATAGTTCAATGACATCTCCAGTGTGGGTTGATGATATTACATGTACTGAATCTGAGAGTTGTTTCAGTACTAATTGTGTCAATGATGATCAGTCAGAAGTAACATCAGGACCTTGTGCTGGTCATGCAATGGACATCAGTCTCTCATGCAGTGAGTAAATACAATATATGGCACTATATACATGTACATGTATACTTGAAATGGCACACATTCATTATTGTTATTATTAGCTTTTGTATCAACTGATGGTGACACTCTATTGTCTGGTAATGAATTCATTTGTCGTATCCATGGTAATACATTATCAGTGAGTATACTGTGTATTATTGCACATTATGTAGGAGTTGATGTCCTTGTTATTGTCTTGTCTTCAGTATTTGGATTCTTTTTCTTGACATGTCTCTGTGTACTGATCACTTGTATTGTTTGTTGTTATACTGTCAGAACCTGCCCTTTGTATGCCTACAAGCAGAAGAGGAAGTATCAAGGACTGATCTAACTTATGAACAAGAAATGTTGTCAGTGTAGCTTTGCTGCTATTTTATTAATTATTTTTATTTCTTATATTCCAACATCATGTAATTGAAATTCAGTGGCTCAATTGCTGTATATACAGTAGTTGCACATCAATCCTTTTATGGCAATAATATGTAGATCTAGTGTGATTTGACACTACTGACCACTATACTGAAGGATACTACATATTTCCTTATAATTATGAATGGTACTTTCAATTAATGCAAAGTCTTATGCATGGTAATTGGTTACACTTGGTTAATTATAGTATAAAAGTAAATAAAGGTACATGTAACAACAGCAATAATAATAGCATTATTTGAATCCGTATACACTTCCACCCAAATTCTTAGTTCCTCTGCTTCCACTAGATGTTCCTGTGAAGATTGTGTGAATGTTCTTTTTGGGTCCGGACGGTTTTTCAGGTTCTTTAAATTCTTCTTCTTGCATCTCATTTCTTTCTCCTCTTCCTCCACCTGCACCTGCACCTGTTCCTCTTCCTCCACCTGCACCTGTTCCTCTTCCTCCACCTGCACCTGTTCCTCTTCCTCCACCTGCACCTGTTCCTCTTCCTCCACCTGTTCCTGTTCCACCTCTTCCCATTCCTGCTCCTGTTCCTGTCCCATTATCGGTTCCCAGTTCTCCATTGCGGAATGTTTCAGGATTGGCTTGTATTATATCATTCCTTTTTTTAACTAATTCTTGTCTGTATCTTTGTTTTGCTTCTTCCCTAGTTTTTGGTGGATTCCTTTTTTTCAACGGTTCTTTTCCTTCAGTATGAATACCTTTCATCACTTCAAGAGCTTCAGTGTTGAGTAGCACATGGTATTCAACTTCTTCAGTCATCTCTTCTTTGCCGGTTGTCTGATGAGGTCCATCAGTCACGGGCCCACGGAACAAACCATGAATACCTTCAACATCTCCTCCAGCTGTGTGGCCTCCTCTATTTGCTTCTCCTCCTCCTCTTGATCCTTTAGCTCCTCCATTTGTACTGGTACCATTTGCTCCTCCTCCATTTGTACTGGTACCGTTTGCTCTTCCTCCATTTGTACTGGTACCGTTTGTTCCTCCTCCTCCATTTGTACTGGAACCATTTGCTCCTCCTCCTCCTCCTCCATTTGTACTGGAACCATTTGCTCCCCCTCCTCCTCCAT